AATGTACCATGAGATATGGGCTCCTGTTCTCCTGCCATGATGCACCATGAAAACGCAGCATGTGGATCAGACCCACTTTTTCACAGTTTCTGGGGACACAGGCAAATACGCCTAGAGCCAGACCCCTCTGTGCTCTGAGCAATGCTCATCCTCCAGCGTCTGAAGCATGACAAGGTGCCTCTTCTCTGTTGGAGAAACCCAGGTTACTGCCCAGAGTAGAACACAGAGAGGATTTGAGCCCCATGAGCAGAAGGCACATCCTTCTGTGGCAGTTTTTCTCTGAAGGGATACTGTACTGTCAGTTGGGAGCAACAGCAGCAATAAGGATATGAGCCTGGAATATGTGGATTGGCCTTTCTCTCTTTTATGGCACTTTCAGAGGTTTTGTTTGCTTCATATTTCTGCCAATGCTCTGCCTGCTTTCTGGGCTATCCCTGGTGTCCAGCACTTGTATGTCATCCAGCTCTGCTGTGGGCACTGGAGCTTCCAGTCCACTGGGTCCCAAGGACCCTGCAGATGGTCAGACTCTTTCTCTCCCGGTACCCTGGGAGAAGCACATTTTGGGAGTCCCACTCTCAGACCAAGGTTCAGCTCCCATCAAAGTACTCCTCAGCTCATACCTGAGTTAAGGCAATCTTTCAGGACCACTCAGCTGCTGCCCCAGCCTCTCAACAACACGTTGGGTCAGTGCCTGACTCCTTCACCTCAGTGTCAAGGTCACTGTAACTGAGAGCAAAGCTGGCACGTGTCTCCCATCCCTCTTTGCTCTTGAGAAAACCCAGTGCAGCCCTGGGATATTTGGAAGGCTATTGCATATTTTTTGATTGGATTAGAAGCATGAACACTGCAATGAGAAGGGAGTCGAAATATAACCTAGTTTGCTGCATGGATTTTTGTATTTAATCCACCCCATCCTCTGTGTTGCAAAACATGGAGGTTGTGGCATCAAAAATATCACTTAACTAGGTATTGGCCAAGGTACTGATAGCCATAACCATCTCCACAGGTAGCTGTGATGATCAATAAGGATTCTGTAAGTGTCCCATCTCTCCTTGAGGAAGAATCTGGAGGTCTTTTGAAAGAGAATAGTTATACAGTCCTCCACAGCGAATGCTGGCCAGTTACAAGATGCCAGATGCCAAATATGCCCATGAATGCTGCAGATTTTCTTCAGTAATTAAATCATTGGGATTTTTGTTATGTTTTGGTGGGTTTTTTTTAGCAGAAATGCAGTCCACAACTTTAGTCAGATCCCCCCAATGTTGTTTCTGACTTTCTAGTTCAGGTTTCTCTGGGATATGCAGCTGAGTATTGTCACACAAAGGGTACTCACCTTCTAGCGCTGTAAAGAAAGAGGCTGCAGATTTGTCCAAAGACCCCATAAAGCTATGTTTTCTTAAAGGTGCTCTCATGGGATTCTGGGAAGCAGGGCACTGCTAGACTCTCCTCAGTGCCATATCAGAGATCTGTGGTGACTCAGGCACTGCCTCCCTAAAAAGGACCCTTTCAAAAAAGCCTCCCAATCAGGCAGCCAATCACTCTGCCTCCTCCTAGCACTTCTGCAGTGGCACATTTTGGTTTTGCCCAGATCTACTGGGAGATGGAAACTTTCTCTTTTCCGGTGCTCTTCTCCTCACTGCTTTTTGGGACCTGTCATCTCAGATGAATGGGTCCCTTCTCCAAGACCACCCTCTGATGTGTTGACGTGTGGTGTACCCAGCCCCTGGGGAGATAACATGCCACTTCCAGGCATCATGAAACATGCTTGGTACCCACCCTGGACTTAATTTCATATACAGAATGCACCTCTGGTTGGCACCTTGGTAGAAACCATCATGGCCCTTTGTGTGGGAAAAGTGGCTTGCATTCCTCTACCTCAAGGGTGCCTATTTTGATGCATTACCCCATTGTGCATCTCACAGAAAGCCTGCCAAGCTGTGCACACCAGCTCTCTGCCTCAGGGTTCTGCAGCTTGACCTCTCTGCAGCAACAAGGTGTTGACTTGGGAACCACTGCATCTTTCCCAAGTGCCCAGAGAAGGGCAGCTCCACTACTTCCTCTCTGCAGCTGAGCTTAGATTTCTTTTAGTTCCCTAAGCTTCCCAGTCAGTGCCAGAAGTCTCGCAGTTAATCCCAGTCCCTGTTGCCTGTGCAGGCGCCTGTTGGGTACCAACCTGCCCAGCAGCTCTTGCTCACACCACATCCTTGCCAGACCTTCCCTTCTGTTTCCCCAGGTGTGGCTGCTTTTTGTTTACAGTTCCTTGCCATGAAGTTATTAGTTATCTCCCATTAGTAAGGAACTTGGTTTTGCCTGCTATGTTTGCTTTAGCACTGGACAAACAGCAATCAGGATGTTTTACATGAGGTCCTTCTGGCAAGCACTCTATCTCAGGAACGCCCAGACAAGCTGATAACTCAGTCTTCAAGTCATGGCATGGTTTCCTAGATCAGCTGAAGTCTGAAAATAAATTCTAGAGCACCTGAGAAAGTCAGCATAAAGTGGAAGATTGTGACTACTTTCAGATTTGATGGTGCAAGGACCAAAACATGAAAGTGGAATCATTCAGAGAAAAACACGGTATTACGGAAATCTGGAAATGCAGTGGAAAATTCCTTCAGCAAGACTAACTCAATGATACTGCAGAACAGTGTTTTCTATTCCTATTTTTCTTGGTGAGTGTAGTTTGCATCCATAAGACATGCCAAGAGAGACAAGAAGAGCAATGTATTAAGGCTGTGCACAAGACGACTGCTGCGGTGAAGTCCGGAACCTGGCTGAAGCTACTAATGCCTAACATGGACAAAGGAGTATTTGGTGAGCTGGGCTTCTACGTCCCTGCCCTTGGCTACTCCTGTTGCAGCCTGCCCCTCATTCCCCATGGCTCTGCCAGGGTCCCACACATCCCTGTCAGCCTCTCTGCCCAGGGGACCCACGCGGGCAGAGTTCTGAGAAGATGTCCCTGTGCTGATCTCTCTCTGGTCACTGTTATCTCTGCCTCGGGGTCCCATTCTGGGAGATGACGAAAATGCTATTCGAGGGAGTCAGCATTTAAAATGGGTCGTTAGAGAGAAACGTCACAGTGTCTTTGCTAAAGATAGCCTGGTGCTGAGTAAAACAGTGCCTCTAAAACCTTCCTTTTACAACATGCTCACTCAGCATAATAACCCCTCGGCCTCAAACACCCCTCCCCAGTGCCAGGCAGCTCCTGTCATTTTCCTGGGCTCTCCATCAGTCTCTTGTGACCACCTCTTGGGAAGCTGTAGCAGGATGGGACTACGTCCTCTGCTTTGCTGAGTCTTACAAGAGATAAGCATTTCCTAGAGCATGAATTCCTTTAAAAGTGGTTTTGAGGGCTAAAGTGGAATAGTGCCAGGGTGCCAAGGCTACAAGAGCAGAGAGAGTTGAGATGGAGGGAGAGAGCAATGAGCTCAGTGTGCCCCTCAAGTGAAGCCAGGAGAGGAGGAGCAGATGATGCTGGACTGCAGCAATGTATGTGTCTCCCCACCACGGTTCCAACTCCCTTCTATCTCTCTCACCTTCACCCACACGCTCACACCATTCTTGCACTGCTGATTCAAGGGAAAGAAGCGGTTGATGCTTTCTGCTTGAACTGGTCACCACAAACTGTTTTTCTTGAACAGTAGGAAAAAAACACCTCCTGACAACTGTTGCAAGTTCTCCCCTATCTTTGCTCCTCTCTTTCTCTCTCATGCGATCCCATGGACTGTGTTACACAAGAGGGCATGTGGGACCACTACAAAGCAGTCCCTTGGGGACATGGAGGCACATGAGGTTCCACCTGTACACCAATCCCACTCCTCAGGAGGCTGGAGAGCCATGTGTGATGAAAGAGATGAGACCTGTCACTGCAACAGGGGTCTGCTGAAGCGAGGCATAGCACTGGCCCTCTTTTATCCTCCACCTTCACCACCCAGCTGAGGAAAACCAGAGAGCAAGCGAGGATCCTTCCACAGTTGAAAAGTGGCCACTATGAGTCACCTCCCTTCCCCCAGCCTGAGGAAAAGCCCCAACACTTGGGGGATGAGCCACCGAGGGGCTTGGGTGTCTGATACATGTCACGAAGGGCTGATTAAGTCTGAAAGAGTCAGAGCAGTGGGCTGCTGGAAAGTGTGAACCACAACAGTGGGGGTTCTCTGAGACAAAATGGGTCCCAGGATGAGGCACATGGATGGAAATGTATTGCCCTATGTAAAGGTCAGCAGCTTAATGGGAGCTAGGTTGAGCCCCCTCTGTGCATGAGCTTGAGTGGGTTTTCCCAGAACTGCTGGAGGAGGAGGGTCCCTTCCTCACACTCCTCGTCGTGCCACAGTATTCAGCCCCTCTTTTCAGTTCTGATTCCTTCTTCTGGATGCTCCTCTCTATCTCCTTGGACCACCCGGGCTTTGTCCCATATTGGCCCTGGACTCTAGATTGATGAGTCACATGTGCCCTACTTGGAGCTCACCACAGACCATTTCCTCATGCTGCCTGTGAACTGACCAATGAGAAAAAGCCAAGAAATTAGCTCATTTGGAGGATTAAAGAAGGAAAGAAAAAGAAAATGAAGGAAAAAAAAAAAAAAAAAGAAGAAAGAACAGCAGAAATAAAGACCAACATGTTCTCGAAAGCCCTGAAATAATTAGAGGGAAGCTGCAAGAGACGGAAAGATCAAACCAAAAAAGGTAAGAGATGAAAGAAAAACATGAAGGGCACTTGCTGGGAAGTGTCTTCTACACTTTTTCCACTGGCTATGTAGAAGTGAAATTTGTAAGAAAAACAACAGCGACTCAAAGAATTTCCACTAAAAGATGCTTACAGCTGTGTCTCTGGTCCCTCCCTCCTCTGCTCTCACGTGCCTCAGGCTTATACTGGTTTCTTGGTGGTGACGCATCTTCTTAGTGATATGAGGAAATTTGCTGCCCACCTGCAATATAAGGGCATTTAGGGAAATGCTTTGATCAGAGAGAGAGACGGCATGAGAGCAAGCACATCCCACTGACCCCTCTTTGCTTACCCACCAACTTCTAACACCTTCTTTGCCCATGCCTCATTTTTACTGATCTCTTCAAGCTTTGGACCTTGTCAAGCACGGACCCAAGTAGGAGGCAGCCCCTCGCCTTTCCTGGATGCCACCATGAGGCCGGTGTCCCTGGTGCTGTTCCTCACCTTTGCCCTGCTGGCTTTCAGTGGTAAGAGGGGCTGAACCTATTGGGGAGGGCAGTGTAGCTCAGTAAGCTGAGCCTGGGTGTTACTTGGTCCCTGACAAGACTGGAAGGGAGAGTTTGTGCCCTTCCAATCCACCAAAGATGACCAGATATTGCCCTGCTCTCTAACTTTCCCTGGCAAACGCAGCATCCCCACGCTTTGCTCAACTCTTTATCTTGTTACAGCTGGTCACATCCTAGCAGGATTAGCGGAGGGGGAAAGCAGGGAGCAGAAAATGTGGGTCAGAGAGGGGAGTTCAGCTGTGCTGCCCTGCCACTTGAGCCCCAGAAAAATGAGAAAGAGCTTGAAGCAGCTGCCCGACAAGACATCTGTGCAGTGGAAGAGGCATGGGGGAAGGTATGTCAGGGTCAAAAGAAATTCCAGTCCTTCTGGGGGGACTGGAGAGGGTGGGAGACACTTCGAGCCCCTTTTCTCTTTCCCCATCTTCCCTCCTTCCTGCCCCCTCCCTTGATCTAACATTTGCCTCTGGGATGAGCCACTCACTTATCCCACTTCCAGTGTCCACCAGGAGTCACATGGGGTACTGGAGGTGGGGTACTCGGGCCTCCAGAAGACGGCACTGCTCATGAAGCCCCGGGTGTCACTCCAGGACTCTGCCTTACACAATGGCAATTTCTCCCTGCGGATTGACCCCGTCAGGAGCGAGGATGCTGGGCTGTATGAGGCACGGGTGGAATACAACTCGGAGGTCCATAGCTGCCATGTGGAGCTGGGGGTAATTACAGGTAGGAGAAGATAGAAAACCTGGAGAATGTTGATTTTAGGACCGGGGAGGTTGTAAAGATGGGATGGGGTGGGGATGCTCTGTTTGATTGGGCAGGTTAGAGTACAGGCAGCATCCTCCTGAAAGCGCACAGCTTCCTGCTGTCTGCTCTCAGTTCTGGAGGGGCACCTGCCTGTGGGACAAGGCTAGGACAGGGGGACACAAAGGGTTGCGTTGGTAGTTCCCCTGTGATCTTAGCTCACCCCCCCACCCCAACACTTTGGTTTTTTGCAGTAACCCTCAGTCCACCCAATCCTGTGGAAGAAAATGAGCTGCTCTTGATGAGCTGCAACTCCAGCTACCGGGGCAGCCTTGTGGAGATATGTTGGTTCCATAACGGGGACCTGGGCCCCACCTCCAGGACCTTCTGCTCTTTGTCTGGGGCTCTCTCCATCCTGCGGCCAGCCATGAGTGATGCAGGCTCCTGGCGCTGCCAGCTTCGATACTCTGATAACGAGATAATTTCTGCCACGTACGACCTGCAAATTCTAGGTGACTTCAACCTCTGTGTTGATATTCCAGCATCCCCAAGTTAATCCCTTTGATGTGACTGACTAACCCCAGTAGCTCCAGCTTCCCAGCTCCTGCCCTGTCCTCACTTCCCAGGTCAGTCATCTCCCATCTTTCCAGCCACCACCTCACATTGTGCTCTTTCTCTGGCTTAGGTTTTGATGGCCCAACCAACCCTGTGGTCTATGCTGCAGCTGGCTCTGCAGCCCATCTACCATGCAGCCTGAGCTACCTTCCCAGTTCCTTTCAGATGAACATGGTGACAGCCCACTGGAGCCATCTTGCAGGAGGACATTTGCAAGACTGGGACATCTTCCCAAATCTGAGTAACAGAAGCTTCCCCCTGCATCTCCCTGTGGTGGGGCCGGGTGATGCAGGGCAGTACCGCTGTGCTGTCTCTGTGAGCCACAAAACAATCAGCAGGGAGGTGACCTTGGCAGTGGTTACAGGTGAGAGGAGAGACAAGGAGGTGCATTATCCCTCTGGAGTCCCCCAGTGCTTACAGATAAACCTCCCCACGTGTCAGTGCAGTGAGCGTGGGTAGCTCCTTGATCATGAGTTCCCACCTCGGGGTGAGAAACAAGATCTCTACTGAGGGCATTGCAATGCACTGGAGTCTGCTGAAGTCGGTTTTCCTTGGTGACCTGATTATTCCTCTTAAAACTAGGGAAGACAAAGAAAATAAATTAGAGGAAATAATAAAGAAGGGATGTAATAGAAGAAGGATGGATGAAGAAGAGATGTGGACCTGTCTGTAGTCTTTCCTGAGGGTATTTTTTTTCCTTTGCTGCAGTGACTCCAAGCATCCAAGGACCAGTTTCTGAGGGGAGTCGTTTGCTGCTCATCTGCAGCCTCACACACTCCCGGGGACATGAACATTTCCAGTGGAAGCACCTTGGCTCAGTCCCCACTAAGAGCAAGCTGGCTGTGGCCACCCCCCAAAACCTCGAGGGCAGCAGCGCCCAGATGGGACCTATCTTGAAAATACCCAGAGTGTCACAAAAGGATACGGGCACATGGGAATGCAGTGTATATGGCCCAGAAGGCCAGCTGGGAGGAGTGGAGTACGAGCTGCAGATCACAAGTACTGTCCCCCATGTATTTGTAACCAATCTCTTCTTGCCCTATTCAGTTCCCTGGTGCCTTTCCTGTCTCACTTTCACCCTCTCCTTCTTCCCTTGGACCATTTGGATCCCATCTTCTTGTCATCCTGTCTTAGCTCTCACCAGTCCCTTATGTTGCTCCTTCCAGTTCCCTGCACTCTTTCCCATTTCGCCCATTCCCAGCCTTGCCCCAGTGCAAGATTGACATTCCCTTCCTTCCTAACTGTGGTTCCTCCTCACAGGTGCCCAGGTCTCCAGCCCTCCTGGTATCTTCAGTGGGCAAGTTACTTTTGGGCTCACACTCACCCTCTTCCTTCTGCTTGCTGTCTGTGTTGTGGCTCTGGCCCTACAGAAAAGGGTAAGTGTTCATCACCCAATTTCTGTTATTTTTCCTGTACATCAACCCTTATTTGACCTTATTTGGCAGCTCTGGCTAACCATGGTGTTTGTCTGGAGGCAGGCCAGACACCTCAGAGGAGGGATGAAACCTCCGAAGAAACAACCACAGCCCGGTCTTGAAAAGCTTCATGTTTATTCTCCCACAGATTAAGCCACACTGTGCTAGAGAAGGGTTAATTTTCAGGCTTTTGTACATGTTGTCTCTCTTATTCCTTATCTGGACACTTTAACGTAACAATCTCCTGTTCTATATGAATGCCTACTGGTGCCCAGAAACAGATCTCAATGCAGGGCCGTTGTTTCTGGCTCAGCCTTCACATCTTAGCCTCTGCTTCTGGCAACTTACTGACCTCTGTTTGCTCAGCTTGTTCCACTATCTGGAGACTGAAGACAAGCAGCATAGGAACAAAATCAAGGTCGGAATTTTTAAAAACCACCGTGGGTACCACTAGAGCAGCTCGTGACAGGTTCTTCATCATCCATCCTTAATTATCACTGATGGTAAAGGATAATCTGAGGCAGAAATCTACAGTTTCTGTGTGACTCTCTGGACTGTGCAAGTCCGGGACAAGATGACCAGAACCACCCTTTCTGGCCAAAAACCTTGGGAGAAATCCCTTGGTAGTGTAACTCTAAGGCCTCAGCTAGCAGGAAATAGGACACCTGGGTGCCCAGCTGTTAGTTAAAGTTTCATGTAGCCAGGATATTTACCACCCTAAAACATTTGCATATGCCCTCATGGCCGTGCTTTGCTGAGTAAGCAAGGCTCCTGTGTTGAAGTACAGGTCCTCCATCCACAGGTGGTCCTCAGCCAGCTCTGGGTGGCCCTGCTTTATCAGGGCGTTTGGACTGAATCATGGCCAGAGCTCCCTTCCAACACCAACATCCAGTGATTCTGTGATTCATGCCCTTCTCTGCACAGACTCCCCGCTGGGCTCATCCTCCGTCAGAGTGCAGATGAGGTGCCTCAAGCAAAGATATCAGCTCTTCTCTGGTTCTCTCCCTCTCTCTGCTGGCATCCTCTGAGATTACATTTGCTCTCCTTGCATTAGCTGGACACCGGATGCTCACCGCAGTGTGTCATGCGCACTCGATGGGCTGTTGCCCACACATTAGGAATTCCTATTCCGATCCCCTGAGCCTATCAACGTGCCATTGGTACTGTTGCATTTCATTCATCCTGTCACTCAGTTTAGTGCTCTGTTCTCCTAAAATATCTGGGTCTTGTGTGATATTTTCATCCTCTTTCTTCCAAATGAGGCTCCTCAGCTTTATCAGCTACCTAACTCATTAGCACTTTCACACTCTCTATGCCAATAATGACTGATCTTTGAAGACTTGTGCTTATCATTTCCCTACAGCCTGACAGAAACATGCCAGCAAAATCGCAGTCCCTTCTTAGCTGGGATTACACCTACCATGCTATTCTCCAACTAATCTCATCCTTCTTGCTGAACTGATTGTCTGTGTCTTGCCCTATACTTCTACGCTGTCAGAAGCCCTGAGATCTACATCTTTTCCATTGTCTAGAAAGTCACTTGTGAAAGTAGTTCTGTCTTTAATTTGTTCTTATCTCATTTTGCACAACCCTTCACGCCTTTACTACTTCTCTCTGAAAAGGTGGTGTAAAATCTGGCATGCCATCAAACCTGACATTGGCCTGACCATTGCCCAGATCACTCTTTGCTCTCCCTTAAGCATGTCCTGTCTTTGTTATTCCTTACGCCCATGTCATCACTGAGGATCATGTTGGGACAGCACTCCCCAGAAGAAACTGCAGGTCCCAGAGAGTGGCTTCTTCCCTGGCTCTAGGAGGGAATGGGAGCCTTATGGTTGCAAGCAGTAGGATCATGTCTTCCATGGCAAGGAGAAGCCCAGTCTACCATGCCATTCAATCTCCCTCCCATACCTGATGTTGCCTCTTTTTTCCCTTTCAGGCACAGACTCCTGCCTTCTCAGCACTGGAAGGGATGATTGGAGTCCCTGGGCCGTGGAAGTCGATGAAGGAAAACCAGAAAGGGAAGATCCAACAAACTGAGTGCTGACAGAAGCAGGGACACCAGGGCTAGTCTGCATGGGAGGATGAAAATCTGTGTGCCGTGCTGCAGAGAGATGGGTGCCATGCAGACCTGTCAGGGGGGTCTAGGGATGGCATGAACAATGCAGAAGGTATTGGGAGCTCTGTATCTGCAGAGGGGCTGGGAGCTGCCTACCAGGGCAAGGCAAGCCTCACTGCTGCAGTAAGGTGGCCAGCAGCACAGATGCTTTGGAGCTATTGGGAGTATTTGAGCCAGTAGCTATTGCCTGCTTTAGTGCCAAATCTCTGCCTACTCTTTGTCCCTTTTTTGTGGCTCCTCTCACAACCTTTCTCTGGTGGAACACCAGGATGCAGGAGATGGCTGGAATCTGTCTTTCCTGCAGCCTGATGGTGTTTTCTGCCCCCCTTGCTCGCTTTCTTCTCCCTCTGCCTGCACTGCCCTGATCACTGCCCTGTTGCATATTTTGAGCATTTTAACTTATTAGAAACTCATTTTAGAACTGAAAATAAATCTATGTGACAAAAAAGCCCGCTGGTCCCTGTATGTGCTTATGGGGGATTGTGCCTATTTGACCGTGCCGGGTGTACCTCTGCCTGTGTGAAGCCATTTCTAAGGCCTTTGCTGCCTTTCTTTCTTTTTCAGTTCTGTTTTACTGAAGTTGCCTGTTCATTTCTGACATTTTCACAGCAGGGAAGGGGAAATTAAATGCCACTAGAGAAGAAAGAATCACAGGTTCAGTCTCTCCCTTTTGCTGTGTTTCAGAGTCTTTTTTTCTTTCTTTTTCTCCCATCTGGCTGTCCCTGTTCATTCATTCATTTATTCCTTTCGTTCTCACATTTTCCTGAAAGATCTACAACTGATGTTAGGGCTCTCTGTCACTCTCCTCCTGCTAAGGATGTATTTAGTAATATAAGTGTGAGTCTGCCAGGTCCCATCTCTCAAGACCCTTAATGTGTTTAGCTTTCATGTAGTCAGAGAATGCTCTTCACCTCCTCTCTGAAAAGCCATGGAGGACTGTAGTACTGCTCTTGAACAGCCATTACATGCCACCCCAGAAGAAAGCCTCACTAATAAAGAGAGCCACACATGTGATGTCTCCCATATGGGTCCCCAGGCTGTGGCTGCTCAAGGGGACAGCGGAACAAAAATTAAGTTCTCAATATTTAAGATGAAAGGTTCTCTTGACTTGAGTAAGAGGGATCAGTAGCATGCCAGATTTTCATTATTTCACCAGGCATATGGTGTGTAGCTTTCACCTTCCCTTTCCAAGAGGGAAGCTGCATTCACAGCTAGCAAACGCACTTTGGGATCCTCAGAGTGCAGGTAATGGAGCTGCATCCAAAAAGTCACAACTGGCCCACTCTGAAGAGCATGTCTGGATTCCACAGCTCTTTAGCTAAACAGTTAGCCATGTATTTTACTGAAAATGACACTCATTTCTCCACTGAGTCCTAGAGAAATGCAGCAGAGCCACGAGGTAGACCTGTCTGCTTCAACCATCCCATGTAATTTCAGTCAGAACCAACAAAACACACGACAATCCAGCTTGGCACCAGAATTTTCCTAGGCAATTGATAATATTGCAATTTTTGTTAAGGTTGGAGTGATCTGTAGCTCAATCCCCTCTCTCTGCCAGATGTTTTGGAGATAGAGAAAAGGTGGGTGAGTCCCAGTGGGGCTAAAGGGCTGTCTAATATTCATCAGGACCACATCATATTCTCTCAGTGCCTCACAGCAGTTTGCTCTCTCTTCTAATACACAATGGGATGCTCTCTCCTCCTGTGTGTAATACTTTTAGCATTGCCTTTTACCAGCCTAGACGTTCTCATTGCTCAGACGTGTGCCTGGTCTCTCTTTAAACCTCTCTGTTTCCTTGTACTCTCTGGCTTCCTCTGGCAATCAGTCCTCGGGTCTGCTTATTCGTTGTGTGAAAATGGTTCCTCTATTGGTTTTGAATGCAAAGCTTTCTGGTTTCATCATCTGGTTTCTTTTCTTCTGTCACACAGACTAGAAGAAGAGGGACTCCCAGATCTATCATATCTTAGATGGTCATTATTTTACCACCTTTTATCACATCTTTTTTTTGTTATTTCCCCATCCCCTCCTGACTTATTGCCTTTCAGGTACAAATCCCAGTTTTTGGGACTTTCTCGCTGACAGCTTGCACAGGCCCATCTCTGAGCATGGCCAACTCTCCTCATGCTCTTTGCTCTGGAGGAGGAGACAGCAGCCCGGCAGGGGAGTGGTGCTGGCTCACATGGACACACAGTGCCTTTCTCTGCATTACTTCAGTCTGCCCCTTCATGGCTCCTGGTGTTTTGTCTGCTTCTCTGAGAGAAGTTCCCCACTGAACAACACTGAGCTTGTACCCAGCTGTGCCTGCTGTGATGGCCTGGGCTCTTGCCTGACCTGGTACAGTGTGCAGTTACAGTGAGCAAAAGCCTCCTCAGCTGGACAGGGAAGAGAAAACGTAACAAAAGCCTTGTGAGTCAAGATAAGGGCAGGGAGAGATCATTCACTGATTACTGTCATGGGTAAAACAGACTTCACTTGGGGAAATTAATTGAATTTATTACCAACCAAATCAAAGAAGGATATTGAGAAAGTAAACCCAAACCTTAAATGAAGTCCCTCCTACCACTCTGTTCCTCCAAGGCTTACCTTCAGTCCCAGTTTTCTCCACCTCCTCCCACAGCAGCACAGGGGGACAAGGAGTGGGGTTTGTTGTCAGTTCATTGCAGATTGTCTCTGCCACTCCTTCCTCCTCACGGGGAGGACTCCTCACACTCTTCCTCTGCTCCAGCATGGGTTCCCTCCCACAGGAGACAGTTCTCCACAAACTTCTTCAATGTCAGTCCATCCCACAGGCTGGAGTTCTTCTTGAACTGTTCCAGTGTGGGTCCCTTCCATGGGGTGCAGTCCCTCAGGAACAGACAGTTTCAGTGTGGGTCCCCTGCAGGGTCACAAGTGCCACCAGCAAACCTGCTCTAGCATGGGCTCCTTTCTCCATGGGTCCACAGGTAGTGTCAGGAGCCTGCTCCAGTGTGGGCTTCCCACAGGGCCAAAGCTTTCTTTCAGGCATTCACCTGCTCTGTTGTGGGGTACTCCACAGGCTGCAGGTGGATCTCTGCTCCACCACGGATCTCTGGACTTCCACGGGCTGCAGGGGATACAGCCTGCCTCACCAGGGTCTTCCCCACAGGCTGCAGGGGAATCTCTGCTCTGACACCTGGAGCACTTCCTCCCTCTCCTTCTGCACTGACCTGGGTGTCCGCAGGGCTGATTCTCTCACATATTCTGACTCCTCTCTCTGGCTGCAGTTGCTCATTTTTTTTCCACCCCTCTTAACCATGTTATCCCAGAGGTGCTACCGCTGTTGCTGATGGGCTTGTCCTTGGCCCGCAGCAGGTCCATCTTGGAGCTGGCTGGCACTGGCTCTGTCAGACACAGGGGATACTTCCGGCAGCTTCTCACAGAAGCCAACCCTGTTGCTACACTGCGACCTAAACCTTGCCATGCAAACCCAATACATAGAGGCTGAAAACTTTGAAAAAAACACAGGAAATCCAGTGGATTCCCTTTTGGCAGAGAGGAGAGCTTAAGGAATGCAAAGAAAGTGTTATGCATGCAAATTCCTTTGCATATGACTCCTCCAAAAGGAATGGGAAGACAATCTTTAATCCCAAATTAATCTTTTTTTGGTAAGAAAGATCAGCACCATCAGAAAAAAATCATAACTAGGTCCAGATGTTCTGCATCCAGGACTTCTCAGGGATTTACAGGGAGAGGCTAAGTAAGCGCTAGTGAATAGCGTAATCTGACAAAGGAGCAACTATAAACACATCTGTTGTGGTCTTGGTACATTCTGTACAGCCTTTTAAAACCAATAAAAAGTTAGAACCAGATCTCAAATTATGTAGGATATTAAGGCACATTGAGTTTTATACTTGCTTGGCAAATTTGCGGGAACAATTTCAGCACCAGTCCTGCAAAAAAACCCCAATGACTTACTACTCTGCTTGTATTTCTTCAGCACTTTTACGAACAAACCCAAAATATCTAGGGTTCTCAATTTTGCAGAGTGGTTGGAACGAGATGATCTTTAAGGTTCCTCCCAACCCAAACCATTCCGTGGTTGTATGAAATCGCACTCCCGCAGCGCTCTGAAGGGGCACCTATGCTCGGGAGTCAGGGCGCGGCAGGGGCCGGAGGCTGCAGCTGCTGCGCCTTCACTCCCTCCTGGCACAGGGCTACTCTCCTTGTCCCGAGCCAATGCCGCCATCTACTGTCCTCCTGCGCCGGGATTCTCCCCCCCACACGCGCCGCGCATCGAGTACATCCATCCCTGGTGCCTATTGGGCTGCACACTCCGTGACTCAGCTCCCCAAGGACCGCTTGGCACGCCCAGGTCCTTCCCTTCCTTTGCTTTCAGCTGAGGAAGCTAAAGCAAAATTTCTCACAGTTACTGTAACCTGATGGCATCTGCCATTGAGTCGCAAGCCACTTTAATGCTCCCAGCCCCAAGCTGCTTCCAGTGTGATATTCCAGAACCTCTGTGCTGATGAAACACCTCCATCAAAACAAATATTGTCACCAGCTGCTCCCCCTTCCTTTTGTCAAGGTCATTAATAGCGAGATAGATACAGTTTCTTAAAAGCTTCCCCAGTTACCTCTCTCCTGCCTGATGCGTTTCTGACACATCCTTAACATCGGATTGTTTTTGTATAGGCTGGCTTTAGCCCCTGTCACTTTCAGTGACACACTTTTGCAGTCGGTGGTTCCTGGACCATTCCTCTTTCCAGTGCCCTCTGAGTAGTCTCTGACTTCCCAGCACACCTGGTTAGTTTTGCTCCATCAGACTTCACATCTCCTGCCTAAATACAGGGGACCCCTTGCTCATGAAGAACATCTCCGCATGTTTCCCGATTTTCCGCTGTGATCAGCAGATGAACCTTCATGATACCTGCTTAGAGAATCCTCTCTTCCCAATCAGGCTTCTGCAGAGAGACTCCTAGTGCCTGCAGGAGGTATCTCCCTCTGGCACAACCTAGGAGCCTTCCTCCCTTCCAAGCAACATAGCCGTGCTGGGGCAAATCACCAGGCCCCCTCACCAGAGGGCTGGTTGTTTCTAGCTCCCCATATCTAGTGTCAGAAATGCCCCTTGACAAGCTCACCAGGTGTCAGCTATTCTGTTACAAAGAGACTGTTCCTGGCCTTTGAAGCTGCTGACAGTCAGGTGTCTGAAGACATGGTTGTTATGTTGTGTGTTCAAATCACTAATTTTCCAACACATCTGGGTATCCTCCACCCACCAGGCTTCACAGGCA